AAAATACAATAGCATCAAAGATAGGAGAACATAGAAGTGGAGGGAGACCTTTTTCCAGTCGCAGAACGTAGAAACCGGGCTCGAGCTAGTGTCGGCACCTTGTAGTACAACGCACCAGGGACAGCGCACTCATCATCGTATCTTATGTAGGCATCACTAAGGGAGTAAATAGGAACACCATGATGGTTTCGTTTTGCACATCTTCGCGGTGGTGTCCTCGTTGGGGCAACAGTAGAAAGGACTCCAACAATACAAAACTTTGGCCCGAAAAACACGGCCATCTGTAGCACACTAGGAAACGTCAACAGCGAGCAAAAGCACACAGTGCATGGACCTGGGGTGACGCACAAGAAAATCTGAACAGCTAAGGCAACAGCATGTGTCAACACCACCAACAACAAACCTTGACAGTCCTGGTGGCCTCGATCGCAGCGGTCTCCTCCTTGGGACAGTAGTCGCTCTTGCTAGACCTGAGAGACATCTGCTTCTCCGCGTACAGGATGAGCAGCCTCATGGCGTCCTCCAGTACTCTCACCGTCCACGCCTACGTGGTACGCACACAAGTTGCCCATGTTAATGGGATTGTTGCAGCAGCATTCTGAGCAACAGCATTCTGGGCAACAGCAAATTTAGCAACAGCAGCAGCCGCAGCAGCAACAACATCAGGAGTAGAAGCATCAAACCGGCAGCAGTGGTCGAGTGGCAGAGGTTGTGAGCATCGTGATCGTTCTTACGACCGTGGCGGATGCCGGTGTCTTCACCACCAAGTAAAACCATGTTCACGATACGACTGCTGCTCTGACTTCTCAAACTTAACCAGAACCTCGACATACTCTCTTGCCGCTGCAAAAAAATGAATAAGACGCCGATTGTGTGGACGAGCGTGTCCAGAGGGGTCAGCAATGGCCAACAACAAACAGCCCGATTCCCGTTGAGTCGACGAAGGCGTATTGAGATGTTGGGCTCGAGAAACAGCCTAAAACAGGCAGCGTACCCACAATCACAAAAGCATGATCGATATGCATCAGAACGAAGGGCGGGAGGTAGAGGACGGCATGATCAAATCGAAAATCAAACGACAAAAAACTCTCTGTCGTAGAAGACAGGGTCGGTGAATGCAGACGGCATCGGGAACTGGAACGAATGAAATAAACCTCACAATCACGCCTCACAGTAGCGCACTAGCTGTGTGGCTGTCATCCCTCCAAGGCCGACGGTACTTGGTCTCCTTGTTAACGCAGTCCTCGCCCACAATAAACACACACGCACCATCACGGCATTCAAACGACAGAGGTACGCATATCTACACGTCAACACCAAAAACGACGAAAGCGTGTACTGCCTGCTGACTACTGACTACACTAAGAAATACTGTACTCACGTCTACCCTGTGCAGGAGGCTCTTCTTGGTCTCGCTGGCGATCGTGCGGAGGGTCGGCGTGTCCTCCATCCCTTTCGCCACAACCTCTCGGTGGTGCTCCTCCAGACCCGCAGCCGCCTTCGACGCCGCCTTCACCGCCTCGTAGAACTCCTGCCGGGGTTTTTTCCCGTTGCCGGCATTTTGGTTGCGGTCCGACTTGGGGTTGAGAGTAGGTTCGGGGAACCAACCGGCTTGGGTGCTGCTATTTAGTTGAATCGGGTGGGATTGGGATCGGCTAATTGGCTTCTCCCACAGCGAAACACATGGCAGGCGAATACCACAACGTGCATCACTAAACACTATGATTAGAACACACAGAAGGGAATCGATATCACATGTACTAGGACTGATCTGTATCAAGCTGCGTAGTTTCAAACCATACGCCACACACGCGTTCGTTCGTTCACCGTCCTCTCACAAGAATTTTTGTCATAAGCTATGCACATCCACTTTATTATTGTGCCCAGTGCTGCAACAAACACGCCTAACTTGCGGAAGTGCGCCGTCGTGGTAAACAAGAGAGGTGCATTGCATTGAAGTCGGTGTGTGTTCATTCGAACACGACGATGACCTTCGACAACAAACTGTGTTCGGGCAAGGTCGGTTGGGGCCGCTGCCTCAACCTCCCCAACTCCCAGGCATTGACCATTCGGTTGGCTGTTTCGGGGGACCCGCAGGACGAGACCCGCACTGCCTCGTGTACAACCCGTACCGTACCGTACCATACTGTACCGTACCGTCAGTCATCGCTATTGTACATGAACCCGAGCGGAGGTGAAAAGTCCTCAGCAAACGAAACGACCTTGAGAAAGACACTTGAATGACAGCAACGATCGGCGCCGCTTCAGCACCATCGCCGCTAAACCACCACCAGCTCCACTCACCCTAGGCGGGAGCTGCCCCGCCCCGCCTGTCATCTCCCTGAGCGCCGCGCTGGCCGCGTTGGCCGCGGGCTTGGGCAGAAGGTTGTTGGCGCACCGCAGGGCCGGCGTGAGCAGGTGATCGGCGAGGTATCGACACACCACTTGGAAGAACTCGCATACCTGTACAGTACAGGTGTTGTTGTTGGGTAATGTCACGCCATGCCATCCATGCCATGCGATCATACTCTCGGTCAACAACTTTTCGATAAATCTGGGGCGAGAATGATAGGTATTGCTGGCGGACACCCCATTCTGTCGGGGACTTGCGTGTGAAACGAGGTAGGTCTTCCGCTGGCAAACACGTTGGGCATCTCTGCGATATGTGATTCATTCAATTCTTGGAAGCAACGATGTAGTGTCTATGAAACTTGAAGCTGTTTAACCTTTCGCCTCTCCTTTGACGCCCCTCCGCCTCTCTCTCTCTCTCTCTCTCTCTCTCTCTCTCTCTTTCTCTCTCCCCCTCGCCCTTGTGCGTATTTCTCCGTGATGTCAAAAGGCGGCCTTCTTTAACAGCAGGCATCTGAAATTTGTTTTTCCCTTGAACTCGTCAGGTTGCGATGCTTCATGGGAGCGACGTGTTTAACGACAGCAACAACGACAATAAGCGACATTATCAACAATATCAGCGGCAGTTAGCACTCGCCTTCTGCTCCCGCTCCTCCTCTTCCACGATGATGGTTCGGCAGCGGCGGATGGTTTCGGAGCTGTACGAGAATACGCCTCCCCAGGCGGACGGCCGTAACGGTCCGGATAGCACCTGGAGGTAAGAACCGATCTGAACAAAAAAAACACACACGCACACGCGCGCGATAATGTCGACAAAAAACAGACAGGCAACCACATGCAGGCGAACGTCAGAAAGAAACAAACCAAAAGCAGAACATGTCCTGTGAAAAAAACACCTGGCATCCACCGCAGCGACGCATAAAAAAAAAACACAAAACAAAACAAAGGAAAGGAAACCGAGACCAAAAAGCCCCAAGCCACCATTGATCCGTCAACGCATTTGGCAACGATTAGCACCCAGAACTTCTCCACTCCCGCCCTCTCTCCCATCAATGCAGATTTCATCAACAACGGCAGAAGCCAGAAACGTCTTCTCGAGCCCTACAAGTATGAATCTCTTCCGAATATCCCCTACCCCACCCCCTCCCTAAGGACCTTATAACTCCGTGAACTTGTCGACACCGGGAAACACGAAATACATCACCCCCCCCTCAGACCAATCATCCCTCATGGCCTCGTCTTCGTGAACGGCATGGGAATGCCACCAGCACCACGTAACCCCCCTCCCCCCGAAAATACTCGATGATATAGCGCCTCCTCCCCGCCCCTGACCTTGTCATCTCGAACGGCAGGAAACAGCTCCAGCCCCACGGCAACCGCCTGGCCCGCCGCAGCGCGGTAGTGCAGCATCCCCTCCCACACCGTCTCCGAGGTGCCCAGCAAGCTCTCCAGGAGGTGTCGTCTCTCCTTAGCGGCGTAGCTCACGCGGTGATCGAAGAACATGTGCTTAGCCTGGCCCGATTTTGTATTTTTGTTCAGACAGGATAGGATAGGATAGGACAAGATGCAAGACTGTACACATGAACGAAAACGGAAAATAAAACAGAGACAAAGGTCTAACAAAAGATATTTCAGCAGATATTTGAATCCGTGCCGGTTATTTCAACTTTTGCTACGGGTTCTTTTTTCCCAGGCCGTTGCTGCGGTTTTCCGGTTAACGAGGCGAGAACAGCACCAACAGCATCTACATCACCCGCATCTCCAGTACCACCACCATCGACTGCTAACCAGAGGCACCATGGGCTGCCAACCAGGAGGCAAGAGAAGAAGACACTGTAAGACAACGAAAAGGTAAAAAGGTACCATAGCTCGAAAGTGATGTCATACTGTAATCATTCCTTCATGTCCCATCCAAGTTTAGTGAAAAAGTTTGAACAAAAAAACACCAACAACCCGACTCTCAAACCCACCTGTTCGTCCAAATAAGCGCGCAGCGCGGCCATCTGGCGAGATGTCTCCCCATCCCCCTCCCCTTCCCCTCCCGGACCCGCGGAGCCCCCACCCCCGCGGTCTTCCTCTCCTCTTGCCGTTCTTGCGACAGCGTCTGAATCTTGGCTGTCCTCGTCGGAGTCGGTATCGTTGTCTTTGTCGTTGTCGTTGTCGTCGTCGTCTGGGTCGGCGGCACCGCCTGCGCGGATGAAGTCATGCTCCTGAATTCCAGCAACAAGAATTGAAACAACAAAAAAACTACTGCAGTTAGGACCTGGTCGAAGCTATTACACATCAACTAGAGAGAAGTAATGCACCACCATGGCACCTCTCTGTCTCTGTCTCTGTCTGTCTCTCTGTCTCTCTCTCTCTCTCTCTCTCTCTCTCTCTCTCTCTCTCTCTCTCTCTCTCTCTCTCTCTCTCTCTGTCTGTGTGTGTGTCTGTCTGTGTGTGTGTCTGTCTCTGTGTGTGTGTCTGTGTGTGTGTCTGTGTGTGTCTGTGTGTGTCTGTGTCTCTGTCTGTGTCTCTGTCTCTCTCTCTCTCTCTCTCTCTCTCTCTCTCAC